TGTCTTTTATTGGTGCATTACACTTTTTCCTTTTTGAGGAAGAAACAACAGCAAACAGGGCCACTGAAGAATTTTAAAATAAGAGGTCAAGAGGTTCGAGATATATTAAGAACACCATACTAAAATCTGTAATGGAGATGCGAGAAACAGAAAATCATTCTTCAGTTCTCCGTTGATTGAATGATAGAGTGTCCCACGACTTGCAAAGGTCAGGGTTGGCACAGAGTATGTATTTTGTCTAAATCAACGACTATGTCAAATAATGCTTGGAATTGATAGATCCAGAGAAGAGAACCAGCTGAGGCCGTAAGGTTGCTCTGGAATGCATCATTGCCCCAAGAGGGACATTCTAGTGACAGGCTTGGCAGAGTCACTCTTGCCTGAGAACTTCACCATAGAAAGTCAGACCTATCAATGCCAGCCTCTGTCGAACAGAGCCATTGGGGTTCTCTTTCACTAGAATCCATTTGAAAGTCATCCTGGTCTTTTTTCTTGAGCCAGCAGAAGAGTCTGTTAGAGCATGGTTGAAGAACGTATTGGTTTAATTAAAGAATTTTTTTTTCCCAGAAACTTGAAGAGAACAGCTAAGATTAATGTCTACTTGAGTACACAAAAATTTCACCAACACACACCTTGTATTTCTGAAAAGAACTGTGCAGGACATGACTTGGACAGGTGATAGTGGGCAGAAGGGGAAGTAGGAAAGGCGTGCTTCCAAAAAATAAAAACGCTTTTGGAACAAACTTCTTGTCTTCAGTGGGGACTATCGGGAAAATCTGAGATTAGAAAGGGTATATTTACTTGGGGATGTGCTTGGATTGCCATGTGGTGATGTGTACTTATCATACCATTTTTTTATATGCTTGTTTCTAGAAAAATAGATTTGTGAATCCTAAGTGCAAAAAATGCCATTAGACTTAACGCAGTCATCCAACTGAGGGATGAGCTCTGCACGTCACAAATAATTACAGTTTATAGATTATGGTCCTATCATTTAAAATAATAATAAATATTTTAAATGGTTACATTAGACATTTTTATTAAATTTTTGTTTTCAGATTATAAAAGTAATACATGCCACAATTCCTCAAGATCTATTCCACCAATATGGAGAAAATACTGTGTGTGAATATTCACACATTCAACAAGTATTCGTCTTCTTCTATGTACTAGATACTCTTTTAGATGGTGGGAACACAAAATTTAAAAGACACCATCCTCATCTTTCAGGAGCAGGCAGTCTACAGAAAAATGTGCTCACATATCATAAAAATCCTGCATGCTTGTGTACAGGAAGAGCAAAGAGGAGACAGAAGTCAAGGGAGCAGGGGGTGAAGGATGGCTTCCTGGGGCAGCGAGAATTGGAGGCTGGTTCCAAAGCAGGAGTGGGTGTTGGGGGTGGGATCGGGGGAAGTGGGTGGGCAGGGAGATTCCAAGCAGAGGGAACAGCATATGCAAAGGCATGGAGTTATGAGAGGGTATTGGCTGGCGGTGGGATACTAGCAAGTGATGCTGGAGAAGTTAATCAGGAAGCCAGCTTGTGAAGGATCTGTGTGCTCAAGAGTGAATCTGACTTCAAACGCAAACAAGACTTTCAGATGTATGACTTAGCCAGCTTAGATGTCCTTCAAGGTAGAGAGCATGGGTTTATTCTAAGATTGGCTCCTCATTCCATGCACTAACCTTGGCTTTTGTCATAGCCTGTGAGCCAAGGTCGCCTCTGTTACACAAGCCACACCCATCCTCATTTGAGGTAGTGTCATTGTCACAAAAAGGAACTTTGGCACAGAAAACAAGCCAGATAAGCACAGTGCTTCCTTGGCTGAGTGTCCAAGGAACCCACACCTGGCCTGCCTGGAGAGGAATAGGCGATGATCTCGAGAGGTCTCATGTGTATGGTGGGAGAAGGCTGCTCAGAGGGTTAAAAAATGACTAACTCGTGCTGGGACAGAGATTTTCATGGATACTCCCCAAATACAAAGGTTAAACTACTCTGAACTTTCTTATAGATCTCAGGTCAATTTTTTTGGCTGAATAATAGTAGCTGATATGGTTTGGCTGTGTCCCCACCCAAATCTCAACTTGAATTGTAGCTTCCAACATCCCCACATGTTGTGGAAGGGACCCAGTGGGAGAAAATTGAGTCATGGGGATGGTTTCCCCCATATGGCACTCATGGGAGTGAATAAGTCTCATGACAGTTAACAGTTTCATAAGGGGGAACCCCTTTCACTTGGTTCTTATTTTTCTCTCTTGGCTGCTGCCATGTAAGATGTGCTTTTCACCTTCTGCCATGATTGTGAGGCTTCCCCAGCCACGTGGAACCATGAGTCCATTAAACCTCTTTTTCTTTATAAATTACCCAGGCTCAGGTATGTCTTTATCAGCAGTATGAAAACAGGCTAATAGAGTAGCTAATATCTATTGAGCATGTTCTCTGTGCCAGGGGCTTGCCGGGGTTTCAGGAGGTACTCACAATGCCAGAGCGACCACTTTCCCAATCCCAGCACTGCAGTAAAGACGGCATAAGCTGCTCAGTGCAAGCATGAGCACATTTTACCTTCTTAATTTGAGAAAAGATTTTGAAGTGGTGAAATTTGTAAAGTGACCAGCATGAAAATGCTCAAGGTGAAATGGCCAAGGACGTCGTGTGAGTCTAATTCTGTCCACACATGAAAGGAGCACGAAAGCATAAACTGTATTTATCTCTGGGTAGTGGAAGCCAAGTAACGTGTATTTCCTTCTTCGGATCTTTCTTCTAGAATAAACACAAACTATTTTTATAAGAAAATATTTTTATATATAAAAGTATGACTTTATCTGGCTGAATTGGAGCCTAGAAGTTGTGAAGAAAAATAATCCCCACATTTCTCTAACATGCCCCCAAGCCATTGAACCCCGAGTGTGTGTTTGCATCTGCTGCTATGCATACAAGTTTTGTTTTGTTTTGTTTTGTTTTTTGAGATGGAGTTTCGCTCTTGTTACCCAGGCTGGAGTGCAATGGCGCAATCTCGGCTCACCGCAACCTCCGTCTCCTGGGTTCAAGCAATTCTCCTGCCTCAGCCTCCCGAGTAGCTGGGACTACAGGCGTGCACCACCATGCCCAGCTAATTTTTGTATTTTTAGTAGAGACGGGGTTTCACCGTGTTGACCAGGATGGTCTCAATCTCTTGACCTTGTGATCTACCCGTCTCGGCCTCCCAAAGTGCTGGGATTACAGGCGTGAGCCACCGCGCCCGGCCTGCATACAAGTTTTTATTCTGTCATGAGGGGACAGTTCTTGTCGAGTCAAGGGGGAAGAGGCCGGATTTGAGTTCTCTCAGTTAGAAGGAGGTGGGAAATGGATAGAGCTACTTTTTATCGAAGATTTGGTAGAGAAGAGAGGTCAGAAGGTGACAGAACTATCAAAGAAAGACTAGATGACTCTATCATGTGCAGAATTGTTTGGGGGCCATGAGACTGAAGGTGGCATTGAGCAGGAGCAGCCCGCTGTCCTCACCTCTGACAGCACCAAGCACCCAGGAGGATGCTGAGACTGCAGGCTGGGCAAGGTTGTCGCAGGGGTGCAGTGAGAGGAGAATAGCTACTTTTGGGCAGGTAGGTGTGTGATCGCTTTGTCTGGATGGTGGAGGCTGAAGCTGAAGACCCGGGTAAGGGATGGCTTGATTTCACACCAAGAATGGTGGCCTCATTTTGTGATCACAGGCTGATGGAGGCTCAGTGTGAGGTTATGTTGCTAGGAAACAGAAAGAAGATGCATCTATAAGCAAGTAAGAACTTCTGCAACCATTGGAATGCAGCCCGGAGCTTAGCACAGTTTTTGATTGGTTTTATGGTTCTGATAAGCACCAGAGTATGCAAAGCAGCTGGAGACTGTTGGGGTCCCTGTGGAGGAAGGTGGCAGGTGTGTTGACTGACGTTCACATGCCGGCCCCGTGGGACTTATGGCCATAAGCGCTAAAGAGCCACACCTCCCTATGAAAGACACGACTACAGTCATCTGCTGCGGCTCATGCAAAAGTGAAATGAAAACTGATTGACTTAAACATTGGATCTACGAATAAAAACTTTCCAGTGTGACTGGTGAAACACAACTTGAATGCGGACCCGGTCAAAAGTTAATGTGATACCCACGGATTTGATGAGCCTGTGGGGTCCTGTGTCCTCCTCACACGAACACAGACTTATGAGGCTTCTCTTCCCCTTCCTTCAGGACACATGCTAATGTCAATGTCAAAATCAGCACAAGGACCTCCTGCAAAGATCATATTTACCGAGAGAGCACTATCTTCAGACTCGTCTGAAATTTAATAAAATGAATTTAATAAAACAAATTTCAGACAAATTTGAATAGTGTAAATTTGCCATTACCCTATTTCTGGACCGAGGAGAGGAATAAAGGGAGTACATTTAAACAATTCCATGTAGCCCGTTTCAGTGTTTATTGTCATGTATGTAGATGAAACACAGCTGCTGTTAAGCAAAAGGGATTTATTATTCAATCAATGAAAGTAGATTTCTTGTGGACCTGACACCACCCTGTCGCTCCCTCAGAGGCTGTTGCCCCCATACTGAGGTATGAGGACAGCCTTGGTGCTGTAAGAGGCCTTTCGTGGAGCCTCTGGAAGAACATGTAGTGTTCACCCGGGTGTTCTCTTGGATTGCTCCAGGGATAAAGAATGCTGTTGATGGAGGACCGTGTGAGCAGTAGCACCCGGTGCCCCCTTAAACTGTTATAACACAGAGCCGGCCACTTAAGGGCCCTGAGAAGCCCTTGGATCAAGCAGTGTTTGTAAGTCTAATGGGAGGCACTTGGTGAACGTTTCATAGGTGTGCTTGGAAAGAAAAAATAGTCTGCCATTATTGCTTGGAATGTTCTTAGCTATTAGGTTCTAATAGGTCCTGTGTTGTTTGGTTCTTGTATGTGTTTGATGATTTTCTGTCTAGTAGTTTTATTCTCAATTTTGGTATAACCTTTTGGTGATCTTTCCGCCTTACAGCTGCTCTGAATATTCCACTTAACTTGACTGCACTATACACAAATTTTGCGTGAAGTCTAGAGCAGCATATCGGAATCATCTGTGAGCTTGCAGAGATGTGTGTGCCTGAACCACATTCCAGACCAATCTCAGCCAGAATCCCTAGGGGTGGGTCCTGAAAATCTGCCCTTTAAAATCTCCCTGCGTGGCTCTATTGTGCATGCAGGATTGAGGACCACTGGACAGAGGCTGTGCAACACGATCCAATTCAAGTGTCGCAGGTAACAGACCTGGGTGAAGCCCTGAGGTCACTTCCACTGCACCGAGAGCAGCACTGTCCAGTAGAGCCGCCCGAGAGGGTGGAAACGTTCTGTGTCTGTGTTGTCTAATGTGGCCGTGCTCGCCACACTCGCTACACACTGGGGAGCGAGACCGAGGAACTGCATTGTGAATTTTTTCTTTAAGTAATTTAAATTTAAATAGCTGCATGTAGCTAGTGACTACCGTAGGCAGCTCGAGATCCGTGTAATTTTTCTGTCTTATTTTACCAAGAAAAGAAATACATTTTCACCCGAACTTCCAATGATAGATGATTCTAAGTGGAAGTACTCTCAGTTAAAAAATGTGTTCTTTTGATAGCAAATAGTACATGTATCAGCAAAAGACATGAATTCATATTGTTTCTTCTCTGTGGAAAAGTGAGACTTCACAAAACAATTCAGTGTGCCTCTTTGATGACAAAATTGCACCTTGGAAAATATTTGTAAATGATTATGCTAAGGAATAACATCTGTACTGAGAAATGCACTAATATTTCTTTCAAATACATGTCTGTTATCTGTGACTTTTAAAACTTACTCAGGGCCGGGTGCAGTGGCTCAAGCCTGTAATCTCAGCACTTTGGGAGGCCAAGGCAGGTGGATCACCCAAGTTCAGGAGCTCAAGACCAGCCTGGACAACATGGTGAAAGCCTGTCTCTACAAAAAATACAAAAATTAGCCAGGCACGGTGGCACATGCCTATAATCCCAGCTACTCAGGAGGCTGAGGCAGGAGAATCGCTTGAACCCAGGAGGCAGACGTTGTGGTGAGCTGAGATTGCGCCACTGCGTTCCAGCCTGGGCAACCAGAGCAAGACTCCATCTCAAAAAAAGGAAGGAAGGGAGGGAGGGAAAGAAGGAAGGAAGAAAAAAGAAAACTTACTCGGAATATCCTAACCACATTGTTCATCTCCCCATTTCATAAGGCTTGTAGTTTCCAGGAGCACAATTGTAACAGTAAAAAAAGTGTTCAAACCCAACTGTGCGGGACTCAGAGAAGCTTGCAGTCACACTGTCACCTATAATCAAGGTGCTGTGATAAAATGCATTTGTAGTGGCTGTTCATGTTTCCCACATGACTGACATATGTTTGTATGGTGTGCCAGCCCATGAACTTTTCACTATGGAGTAATTCCTTAGACACTGGCAAAATTCGTTGCAACATAAATCTTAAGTGGACATATTTGACACCATAAAAACTTTGAGGTAGCATGCAAACAAGCTACTCTTCATTTTGAAGTATTTATTCATTCTCTGATTCTTTTGAGATGGAATTTCGCTCTCATCCCCAGGCTGGAGTGCAATGGCGCGATCTCGGCTCGCTGCAACCTCCGCCTCCTGGGTTCAAGCGATTCTCCTGCCTCAGCCTCCCGACTAGCTGGGATTACAGGCGCCTGCCACTATTCCCAATGAATTTTTGCATTTTTAGTAGAAACAGGGTTTCTATATGTTGGCCAGGTTAGTCTTGAACTCTTGATCTTAGGAGATCCACCCACCTTGACCTCCCCAAGTGCTGGGATTACAGGAATGAGCCCTGCACCCGGCCTTCTCTGATTATTTTTAAATGCTAATTTTTAGTACTGGGAAGAAAAACTAGGAAAAGGAGTGCTTTATCATAAGCTCATCAAGAAAAAGGGCTATAATAAAATTATTTTGGTTTTGGTTCTTTATAAAATATTTCTGAAAAATCGAAATAATAAATACAGTGCTATCATGACAGCATGGAAATCAGATGTAATTTTTCCATATTTTCTTATTCAATGGAAAATCATTAATGATACACAAAAACTAGGAGAAAATGTTTAAAAAAGTAATGGAAAAGCATTAATTCTTACTTTCCATAGGTCCTTTCAGCTTCCGAAATTAAGAGCATTAATTTTCACTCAAGCCTGTCCAAGACCTAAGAAAATCCTAACCAATCCTAACCCTCTATCAATAGGCTCTTCTCCAGTTGGTTATATCTGAAATCAGTCTGGGACCAAGAGTCTGTTGTGTGTATCCCCAGCAGGGTCCAGACAGGGGAAGAGAGAAACCCTGAGCTCATGCACCTCCAGCCTTCAGTTTTCTTCTGTTCCAGTGTTTCCGGCATCCATTTCAGATGCTGCTGACCTAGGGGGAAGGGCTGCTACAGCCCACTTGAGAGGGTGGGCAGCCATCAATCAAATTAACACACTGAGAAGGGCCCGTGGAATCAGGCTTGTCTGGCGTTCTGCGTAACTGTCGGAGGTGCTAAGACGCAGAGGGGTGTTTGTGCCGTTCCTCCAGGCCCGGGAGAGTGGGCTCTTTGCCCTCCGGGGTGAGCTTTTCTCTGCTCCCACCCGCGATGACAGATTAGCCATTCTAGCACTTCTGCCCGCACTGTCCTCCAGTCTCACAGGAACGAGTACCCTTCCCCTGTTGGAAGCTGGCCTACTCTGACAACCCCTGTGGCGCCCAGCTTCTACACTAAGGACTCTGAGAAATGAGAATTTCTGGGCCTGCCCCACTGCCTGTTCTGATGCTGGCTGTTGCCCACGGATTTTTGTCGTTAGTCCCCGGAGGACGTCCCCCAGGATCTGGTGGGCCTTCTTTGAGAAATACTCCCTGCTCTGTGGAGAGTAACCACCCTCCCATATTCCTTTTATTTTTACGGACTCACTCCCTACTCCATAAGTCTGCTCATTTCCCCACTGAAAACAGAACCCTGTCTCAACACCTCTTCTCTGTACTCCTTTATAGTTGATTTCTCCCGAACAAACAAATCCATGCTGGTTGCCTCATTTCCCCGCCTTACCCCTCACTTCTCTGCAGTCCAGTGTTTGACCCCTCTACGCCACATGTGCTCTTACTATCCTCCAAGCAAACAAAACTCAGCTCCAACCCAGACCCTCGATAAAGCCTGCGGGGCCCTGTTCCTGCCTCGCCCTGTCCTGTGCAGCCCTGCCCCACTCCTTGCTGGCTGCTACCTTAGAGCCCCGGCTTCCTTCTAGCTTCCTGATGTGCAGCGCTCCTTCCTGCCCCAGGCCTTTGCACTGCAGCTGCCCTCCCCGGCTTCCTCCTCACAAGGGGCTGTCACAGCATCCATATCACAAAGAGGCCTTGCCTGCTCACGTGATTTAAAGAGCTCTCCTTCTCTCTCTTACAGCTCCACTTATTTTCCTTGAGTGCATTTCCTAATTTACATATGTTTATTAATTCTTCCCCTCAATAGATTCAGAGTTTTGAAAGGCTGGTGGCCTTATTCGTGTAGCTTATCACTGCACCAAGCCACGTTCCTGAGACACGGTAGATGATTTACCTGGAGAAAAAGTGAACCAATGATGCTGTTTTGGCAGAGGCCAACTAGCGCCTCCCTAACTCCCGGCTTCTGCACCTGAATGCATAGCGGCCTGAGTGAGAGACCGTGGCAAATAATGACTCCGCAGACAATCTGTGACTCGGTATGTGCCCTGAGTGTCCTCAGTTCTCTGACGAGCAAAGCCAGACACCCGGCTCTTCTCATCACTGTGTCTGATCCCATTGCTAGAAAGGCCTTGGGGAATTTTGTGTTTTAGCGATTTCACTGAGAATAAAACCAAGAGCCTAGTTTCATCGTTTGTACAGAAAAATGGTACTGCTGACGTTAACCTTGTCATTACAGGATAATTTCAAAAATTGCTGTGGACCTTTTGTTTTTTGTCTTTGCAGAGTACATGAAATAGAGAGAGAACTAAATCCCCCACTTCCTGTGCAGCAGTGCAGTATTCAGGGACCCCCAGGAAAGAAGGTTTCAGGAGCTTGGCCTCTCAGCATCCCTGCGCACACGGCCTGGTCCCTGAGCACAGCGCCTGCCATGTTCTCATCTAAGCTGCATTCCCTTTCCTTCTTTGGGGACATAAATCTGCTAGCAATAAAAATATTGTACTGGGTAATAATGTATGCAGGGTACACTGTTAGTATTCCTAATTGCTGTTCAACGGTGATACGAGTTAACTGGAATTTTGAATGGAGCCCTTTCAAAGCAGTTTTCCCCCCTAAAGCTGGTGCCTGCCCAGATACCTAAAAAACATGCACACCCCCACCAGGGAACCTTCAACAAGTTCTTAGTCCCTTCAAGATGCTTTCTCAGCAGATGACACACTAGAGTGAGAGTCTGGACATTCTGTTGTTTCTTTTCTTATTTAAGGATGTCTTCGAATGTAACAGACATGAAATAGAAATAAGAAATTTAATTATGCCAAAGAAAGTAAATGACCACTATTGCTAAATGGCAAGGCTAGAAAACCCATGAGAGTCACTTGTCCAGAATTACTTTAGTAGAGATGGATACAAAATAAACAAGAAAAATCACTATAATACTGCTTCCTGTGCACTTCCTGGAATGCGCTTTACACATCATTCTGTGATGCTGAGCAGATTGAGGGGCTCCAGGTTCACACAGGCCAGCGTTTGAGTACGTCTTTGCTACTCTTGCAATTTCCAGTATCACTGCCAACCTATCTGGGTCCTTCATACAGTTCATGTGAATTATTGCTGGTGGATAATTCTCAGTGCTAGGACTTAGTAGCCGATCAAACGAGGAGGGGAGGGCAAAGAGGGCATTCATAAATGTACCGAGTATCTGCTAATCTGTATCAGGACTTGTCCTGGGTGCCGGGGTGGGACCAATGAAGACCCAGGGCTCCCTCTGAGGACTCGCAGGGAAGGTGGTGCTGAAGCTCCCAGGTTGGGTAATGGGAAACAGGATTCACAGAGAGCAGCAGGTTGGGTGAGAGATGGTGAGTTCAGACACGGGCACTAAGGACTTTCATTTCCATGTGATGATGTCCGGCAAACCTCCCAAATCGAAGACCAGAGCAGAAGCAGGGGTCAGAGTCTGAGATGGGGACCCAGGAGCCAGGCCCAAAGCGGTCCCTGAAGTCCTACGAGGGGATGAGTTTGCTAAGAACATTCAAACAGAAAAGGAGACATTAGTGAGATTATAAGCTTCCAGAGAGCTCATGAATTAGAGTCTGCAGGAAGAAATAAGATAATAGAGGAGGTGGAGCCGAAATCATCAGAAAACTCTGTGAGCTAGGCAAGTGCCCAAGAAACAAGGCCAGAGAGAGTGCCCCGCAGCGGACAGGCA